CAGCGCGGGTCCCGAGGAGACCTGGGCCGCGGCGCGGGGCGCGGGTCAGGCGGCCCTCCGGGACTCCCAGCGAGGCTCGTGCAGGTTCCGAGGAGGTCCGGGTCCTCCTCGGCCTCCCGGCGGAAGCCGGCCCCCGGGCCTAGGAGGAAGGAGCGCCGGAAGGTCCTCACCGCACACCAGGGCAACTTCTCTGTGCATCTGTCACCCCTCCTCCGGGCGGTTAGGACGCACGGCTTTGGAACCCGTGGTTAAACTTTTGAACATTGCTGGGTTACCTGGAGAAAGAAAGAGAAAACCTCAGGGCGACTTAAGTGTCTCAAAAGCGTCACCTTTCTCAGAAATTATTCACAGATGAAAACCTCTTACGCCGCTCGGCACCTGCAGCCCAGGAAATAAAACGCCGAAGCAACAGTGATGACAGTTAGAAGAGACATCACTTCAGTCCCAGGAACGCTAACCTCTGTACTGTTTTAATTTTGAAACCTTATTTGAAACCAATTGCAGTGTTTTTGTTTACTAGGTTTCAAGGCCATGATAAACCTTAGCGAAGCAGAAACTTACTGTTTTGAGAGCAAAATATTCATGCTTCTTTTCCCCTGCGGTAGAACAGCTTTTCATGTAAAAACTAACAAGTATGTATTTGAGTCAGCCTCGTGTTTATTTTACAGTAGGCATCAGTCTTAAATAAAGAAATCTTATAAATAAAACTAGAACTGCCCGCCACTGCCGCGTACTAATGGTGGGTCTTTATTTTTAGCAACTGTTGCAAATTGAAGTATTCCAGCTTTATTGGGAATCCAAGCTAATGATGTCATTTGATCCACACTGTGAGACTGCTATGGCTTTCTTTCAGTAAACGGGTAGTACAGTAAAGAAATTAATTATTACAAATCGGACGTGCTTTTGATTTCCCAGACTTCGTGTGAAGAAGGCTTGGGTTAGCACCGTGTGTATGATGGTGTTTTGTGTGGCAGGAAGATCATTTTTAAGTGGGTCTCTTCAAGTTTTTCCCAGTATGTTAAGACACTGTGTCTCAGTGTGAGGTACTTGTGTTAGCTTGACAGAAATCTGGTAATATTGGGGGAAATGGCTTTAAATGTTCACAGCTGAAGGAAGAACCAGAGCTATGTGGCCATTTATAAATCAGCTCTTACTGGACTGATTGACAAAACAAGTTGAACAAGTTGCCTTGCATTAAAAAATACTGTCTCTGATATTGAGCTGGCTGTCACTGGTTTAGCTTTTAAGATAATCAGGTCTTTAAGACCTGTGCCAGAGCAGGACTTTGTATCGCTGACTAAGTTTTGTAATCACTTAAATTACAAATTAAGGACAGTGTGTACAGAGTAATGAAAGTGTATTACATTGACTCAGTAGTCAATGGCCATTCTAGCTGCTACGCCAATAATTTAATTAAAAAGTCTAGTTTAGATTATTCTAATATGTGCTCACTGGGTTGAGTCACAAGTATTAGGTTAATTGTAAAATTCATAAATCGAAATATGTGAGGAAATCGATAAATCACAAGGACAGGTTGCTTTGCAGATACAAAACACTATGAATTCTGACTTTCAACTAATACTTTCACTAAAAAAGATACTTTTTGTTTTAAAATTTTTTATTACTGCTTATTTTGTGTGTGTGTAAAAGTGTGCAAGTAAGTCAGGACAACTTGTGGGAGTCATTTCTTTCCTACCTTGTGGGTCCCAGGAATCCAGCTTAGGTCCCCAGGCCTGGTGGCAATCTCATTTGCCTCCTGAGACCTCTCACTTACCTTACTGCCATTATATTACAGAGACAATTCTATGTTCTATTTCTTTATTTGCAATTGAAAATCTCTACAAAATATTTTTGCTGCCTGACATGAAAAATCATGACAAAAACCGATTATTTTCCCTTTATGAAAATAGTGAAAGCATGTTTCTATTGTTTCTATTTCACACACAATGTTCAGATTATTTTATGCTAAAAGTGATGTCTTTCTGGTGTATTTTGTATTCATAGTGTACCCCTTTTCAATAATATGCTGTATGAACTCATTATTATGTCATTAACAGCATCTCAGTTATAATAGCATATGACCATTCGGTGCCTGCTGTATTATTATTACTATTATTATTATTATTATTATTATTATTAACTATTATCTTGCTAGTGCTGGCAGTCAAGCCCACAGCTTTACACATGCTAGTTGACCTCATGCAGCCGTTAAAATTTATGTTCAGAGAAGAATATTTTCAATAGCATATTTATTTGTACAGTGCTGAAACAACTTTTAAACAAAAATATTTTTAAACAAATATAGTTAGATGATATATAAGGTTTCTTTACAGGACAACAAACACCATATTTTCATAGAACTGTGTGTAGGTATATGCTAAATCCTGGTGATTCATGTGAAAGTGATGTGGCTTTTACTCATGACTGTTCTCAACACCCTACACTGAGCATTGAGTATGTTTTATGAAAGATGAGGAAATAATGAATATTATTTTTATGTTTTGCAATATAGTGATACAATTTAAGTCTGACCAACCCAGAAGAGTATAGAAAGTGACTAACTACACACAAGCACAACCTTGCAGGCAGGCGTTTCTTTAGCTGGTGGCACAGGTCTGTAATCCCAGCATCTGGGAGGTGGAGGAAGGAGGATCATGAGCTGAGGGTAGGGTGCAGTTCTTACATTGTTCAGAAACGTCTCTTTAGATTTGTGCTGGTGATTGGGAGAGGAGGTTGAAGACTGTCTTCTGCCTCACTGAGAAACAGGCTGTTAGCCAAACTCCTCTGCTTTATTATCTGATGCCTCTCCACCCTTGCTTGTGTCTGTCTGTGCTTGCTTCTTCCATTCTTCCCTGCTGTCACAGAAAGTGGAGCCCTCGTTTTCAAGTTAACCTGTTCACCTGTGCTTTTGACGCTGCTCTTTGGACACACTGTTTATATTCCTGGTCAGTTATCATGGAATTGTGGCCTTTCTCTTTCTTTACCTTTACCCTGTAAACACAATTAAGCTTCCCTCTGTTATCTTAATTTTCCCGGCACTGTGCCTAACTGCCAAATGTTCTTTAATTGGATAAAGTTTTAAAAAGGTTTATCCTATACGACAGTTCTGTCTAATATACTTGAAATGGGCCTGGTTCGGGTTGAAATTTTCTCAACTATAAAACATAATGGAAAACAGAAGAAAAATGTGATATATCTCAATTATATCTATTTTTGTTACAGTGAGATGACTTAGCAAGAAAAGGTACTTGTCATCAAGTCTGATGTACTCAATTTGGTCTCTGAGGTCCACTTGGTAGAAGGAGAGAATTGTCTCCTGAAAGTTGTCCTCTGACTTTTACATTTACGTGGTGACATGGGCCCATTCCCCAACAATAAATAAATATAATGAAAAAAATGAATTATTTTTAAAATACGACTACTAGAAATTTAAAAATAATATATGTGGCTTACAATTTTGCTCATATTTTATTTTTACTAGTACTGCTGTATGACATTAAAAGTAAGCTTTGGTTTCTGTGGAGCACATTAAGTCTGTATATCTCTATATTCTTTTTTCTTGGTTTGTTGTTGTTGTTTATTCTTTCATATTTAGATCCTAACCACAGTTTCCCCTCCCTCCTCTCCTCTCAGCTTCCCCTCCCCTCCTGGCTATGAAATGTTATTTTATCTGGACAAAGATGTATTACATTTGTTTATGCTGCAGAATAGTGCTTTAGCTGTATAAAGGTGTGATACTTTTGTTTATGCTGCATTTGTTTAACTATGTAAAGATGTGTTGCATTTGTTCCACCTCACCTGCCTAAGGCACCCAATTGGTCTTATAAAGAGCTGAACAGCCACTAGGTAGGCAGGAGAAAGGATAGTCAGGGCTGGCAGGCGGGGAGAATAAATAGGAGGAGAAATCTAGTCTCCAGAGGGGAGGAACAAGAAGAGGAGGAGGAGGAAGAGGAAAAGGAGGAAAGAATGAGGAGATGCCTGGGGCCAGAAGTCAGGCAGCCGCCAGCCAGCCAGACATGAGAAGCAGTCAAAGTAAGATATGCAAAAGGAAAGAAAAGTAAAAAGCCCTGAGGCCAAAGGTAGATAAAGAGAAAAAGGTTAATTTATGTTAAAAGAGCTAGCCTGAAATGTGCCTAAGCTGGGCTGAGCATTCAAAACTAAAACTAAGTCTCCATGTCATGATTTGGGAGCTGGTTGGTACCCCAAAAGAAAAAGCCTAGTACACTCCCCAACCTTCCTTCTCCCCGTAGATCCATTCCTTCTCTCATTTCCCTTCAGAAAAGGACAGGCCTCCCAGGAATATCAACCAAATATGGCATATCAAGCTGCAATAAGAATAGGCACATCCCCTCATATTAAGGCTGAATGAGGCAAAGGGTCCCAAAAGCAGGCGAAAGAGTCAGAGGCCCCTGCCTGCTCCCACTGTTAGGAGTCTCACAAGAACACCAAACTACACAACCATAATATATATGCAGAGGGCTTAGGTCAGACCTATACATGCTCCCTGGTTGTCAGTTCAGTCTCTGTGAGCCCCTGTGAGCCCAGGTTAGTTGATTCTCAGGGTTTCTTGTGGGTCCTTGACCCCTCTGTCTCCTACAACTCTTCCTCTCCCTCTTCAGCAGGTTTCCCCGAGCTCGGCCTAATATTTGGCAGTGGGTCTGCGTCTGCTTCCATCAGTTGCTGGATGAAGCCCCTCTGATGATGATTATGCTAAGCTTCAGCCTAGAAATATAGCAGAGTATTATTAGGAATCATTTCATTGACTTTTCTTCTATTTTTCTGGTTGTGGTCATGTTTGGTTCTGTCCTAGGTCTCTTGGGTCAGAAAGGTTTTAGGTTTTTTGTTGTTGTTTTTTGGTTTGGTTTGGTTTGGTTTTTGTTTGTTTGTTTTGTTTTTATTTGTTTGTTTGGTTTGGTTTGGTTTGGTGTGTGTGTGTGTTTTAATGTATCCCAGGCTAGTCTTAACTCATGATCTTCCTGCTCAGTCTCTTGAGTGTTGGAATTATGAAAGTGTGTTCTTAAATATGAAGTTTTTCTTTTGGTCAAGGTGAAGTGTTAGAGGTGTCTATGTAATCCCAGAGGAACTCAGGGACCTTGCTTCAGAGGCTGGTGAAGGCCACTGTTGTCATTTAATGCCTTTTAGGCTCATGCTGTCCACAGTAGTATCCAGGTGTGACTGTGA